TGATTTGCATTTTTCTCATGATCAGTCCTATTGAGCTTTTATTCATGTGCTTTTTGGCCACACATATGTCTTCTTTGAAAAAATCTGTTCATATTCTTTGCCTGCTTTTCAACAAGGTTGTTTGTTTTTTTCTTGTAAATTTGTTTAAATTCCTTATAGATGCTAGATATTAGACATTTGTCAAATGCATAGTTTGCAAAATTTTCTTTTATTCTATATATTGTCTGTTTGCTCTGTTTATAGTTTCTTTTGCTGTGCAGAAGCTCTTACGTTTAATTAGATTCCATTTTTCAATTTTTGCTTTTGTTATGATTGCTTTTGGCATCTTTGTTATGAAACCTTTGACCATTCGTATGTCCAGGATGGTATTGCCTAAGTTGTCTTCCAGGATTTTTATAGTTTTGGATATTACATTTAAGTCTTTAATTCAGCTTGAGTTGATTTTTGTTTATAGTGTAAGGAAGAGGTCTAGTTTCAATCTTCTGCATATGGATAGCCAGTTCTTCCAGCACCATTTATTAATAGGGAGTCCTTTCCCCATTGCTTGCTTCTGTCAGCTTTGCCAAAGATCAGATGGTTGTAGGTGTATGGCCTTATTTCTGAGCTCTCTATTCTGTTCCATTGGTCTGTGTATCTGTTTCTGTATCAATGCCATGCTGCTTTGGTTACTGTAGCCCTGTAGTATGGTTTGAAGTCAGGTAACATGATGCCTCCAGCTTTATTCCTTTTGCTTAAGAATGCCTTGGCTATTCAGGCTCTTTTTTGATTCCATATTAATTTTAGAGTAGATTTTTCTAGTTCTGTGAAGAATGTCATTGGTAATTTGATAGGAATAGCATTAAATCTGTATGTTGCTTTGAGCAGTATGGCCATTTTAATGAAATTAATTATTTTTATCCATGAGCATGAAATGTTTTTTGATTTGTTTGTGTCATCTCAGATATCTTTGAGAAGTGTTTTATAACCTTCATTATAGAAATCTTTCACCTTCCTGGTTAGCTGTATTCCTGGGTATTTTACTCTTTTAGTGGCAGTTGTGAATGGGATTGCATTCCTGTTTTGGTGCTCTGGTTGGCAGTTGTTGGTGTATAGGAATACTACTTATTTTTGTACATTGATTTTGTATACTAAAACTTTGCTGAAGTTGTTTATCAGCTGATAGAGCTTTGGGGCTGAGACTATGGTTTTTTAGATATTCATGTTATCTGCAAAAAAAGATAGTTTGACTTACTCTTGCCCTTTTTTGTTTTTTCTCTTGCCTAATTCCTCTGGCCTGGACTGGAAGTACTAGAATATTGTTTATTCTTTAAGTGTTGGAGTTCATGACTTAATCCTTGCCTGGCATGGCCCTAGGTCCTGTGTATCATTTAGTATTTTTTTGCCACGAGGAGTCTGTTCTGTCAGTTTGATGATCTCTGTTTTAACAATGCTGATCAGTTGTTGTGTCTAAACCATAAAATGGAGGCAGGGTATAATGAGGTGTGTCTGACCTCCCACCCAGCATGGCCAGGAACTCGGTTTTAAGGTTTTCCTGGGGTCCCCTTGGCCAAGAAGGGGTCTGTTCAGTCAGTGAGGGGCTTAGGATTTTACTTTTGGTTGATAGGCCATACGTCTTTCTCCATACTTTTTGTATGTGTGAAGCAGTCCTCACTTACCTGGCACCCAGGTGTTTCTAATTTAGAGGTTCATCAATCCTGCCCTGTCAGGTTCTGTAGATTCAGCTAGAACTGGCCAGAGCTGCTGAAAGCAGTGTGCATAGCCTTCCTCACAAAGGGCCATTTGTCTGGCCACTAAAGCCACCTTTTGCACTGAATGTGCACTGATTCTGCCTGGATGTCCTTTCTACCAGGTACCGTCTTACCCAAACCACACTTTCAATTTCCCCAGACTACCCTGAGAGCACAGACCTGGGCTTTCTTCCTCTATCCAGAAAACAGTTTTATTTTCCCAGTCAAACTGAAACACAATTGTCTATACTCACGTCACATGTTCCAAAAAAGAGTACCTATCTTAATTGAAAACCTTTGAGTAGTGGGCAGCCTTCTCACATTTGGGTGATGACACTTGGGCTGGAACTGATTAAATTTCTGGTCTGGTGTTGACCATATGGAAAGGGTCACATGAACTTGGCAATGAAAGAATCCCATGATCTGTTCTGCATTCTGCCGTAATGGAAGTTAGCAACGAGGTCCAGTGATTTTTCGTATAAATTTAAGTGCATCTGTATGTCTGTCAGTGTGTGCCTCCACATTTTCTTCATCTATTCATCCACTAGCAGACACTTAGACTGAATCCACGTGAATCAATGCGAATTGTGAATAGTGCCATTCATAACTGTGAATGGTGCTGCAATAAATATGAGAGTATAGAGAGCTCTCCAACATACTTATTTCATGTCTACTTACTATAAACCCAGTGGCGGGACTGCTACATCATATGGTATTTCTCTTTTTAATTTTTTGAGGTGCCTCCATACTATTTCCCATAATGGCTCTTTACATTCTCACCAACAGTGTAAGGAGCTCCCTTTTCTCCACATCCTTGCTGACATTTGTTATCGCTTGTCTTCTTGATAATAGCCGTTCAAACTGGGAGGAGGTGAAATCTCATTATGGCTTTACTTTGCATTACACAATGTTTGGTGATGTGGAGCATTTTTCATATACCTGGTAGCCATTTGTATGACTTCATTTGATAAATGTCTATTCAGGCTTTTGTCTACTTTGTAATCAAGTTATTTTATTTTGTTTTTGTTTATTTTATATCGAGTATTGAGTTCTTTGAATTCCTTACATGTTTTGAATAATCACATGAAGAAGAATAAAATTAGACTCAACTCTCACAACATGTGAAAGTCATTCAGAATGAATTAAAGACTTAAAGATAAGATCCAGAACTATGAAACTACCAGAAGAAAACATAGAGAAAATGCCTCAGGACATTGGTATAAGAATTGTTTGAATAAGACCTCAAAAGCACAGGCAGCAAAAGCACAAATGGATAAATGAGATTACATCAAACTCAAAAGCTTCTGCACAGTAAAGGATACAATCAACAGAATGAAGGAACAGCTTACAGAATGGGACAAAATATTTGTAAACTATATATCTAACAATATATCACTACATTTCAAACAATAGAAAGTCATAGACTCTGTCAGGGATAGTGTAGAGGAATGTCTACTAAGAATTAGTAAAACTAACTTTCAAAGGTAACTTAGTTCCATGAAACTGGTTTCAGAGAGGTATGAAGATAAAGTCTCCCTTCTGTGTTGAGAGTACAGGAGAAAAAACAGAGTCAAAGGAGGCCAAGGGAATCAACCTATCGTTCTACCACATCACATCAGCCACATTTCATCTCACACACAGTGGTACAGATGCAGTATTTGTGGACGAGTATGTCTGCCCACTGTAAATCTCTATTTCATTGATAATCATGTGCAGATGTCTCACTTATTATTTCATTTATCATTTTCAACTTTCTATGTTAATCTTACAGCATTTTTATAGAATTTGATCATAAGCTTGCTCAGCTTCCTTTCTCCAGGCTTAAATGTCCTCATATTTTGTCATCTGTCTCTCCATTTACTGATCTTTCCCATAAAATAATTATTAACCTTCTTCATTAAAGATTTCTCCAGATCTCCTCTATGTTGCATGAGGTGAGGTCGTGGGTAGAATACTACACAGTGCTCCATGTGCAGGCATAGCAATGGTTATGCAGAGAGAACTTTCAACAAGGAATGAAAGTTGAAACCTACAGAAAATACAACAAAAACCTGGTTTCCTCCAGGGATAGTTAAGGGTAGCATGGGGCACAAATAAATAAATTTGCTATTTTCAAAGTAGGCCTAGGCGTGATCTAGAATAGAAATTTAGAGCTGTAAAGGAACTTAATTGATTTCTGCAGGTCGGGTAGTTGCTTCCGCACATTATGTGAAGTTACTGCCACCTTGTGGCAATATCTAAGCACTACACTTTCTGGCTTTGAATAACCCAGGAAAATATAATGCATAAGACAACCAGCCCTTTCACTGAAGCGCCTTAAATATTGCCTAACAGTTTATATCTGTATAGAACTATGGCTTATATCATCACTTACACGGTCTCATCTCGCCTTCATAGAAATCACTTGAACGTAGAAACCATGTTATCCATATTGTGTGCTTGCGTGCGCGCGCGCACACACACACACACACACACAGCAAAAGATGTCATAGGTTTTGCTGTTAGAGTTGAACTTAAAAATCTCTAAATTGTTACATTTGGAGGCTCTCATTTTGGGGATCCTTGTGTGAGATGCTCCTTTGTTGGTCAATTTTAATCATACAGACATAAGTAAAGGATATATTAATTGCACATAGAGAAAAAAATCAGAAATATAAACAAAATGCAGATAAGATGGAGACATTCAATGATTTGTCCAATAATATAAAAACAGGTTTTGTGTGCGGGTAGCTTATGTTGTCATTAGTGGAAGGAAATAGAAAGATAAATAATATTTGAATTCGAAAGAGCGGATGTATGAATATAAGACTCCCTTGAAGAAAGGATGGTCTGGGGCCACAGCAGGCCGGGGACAGGGAGAAGAATGGGCAGGCTGTGTGGGAGAACAAAATGACCTAGTATTCCAGTTTATTTTTTTCCAGTGCTATGATTTCTTTCCTTTCTCTTCAAATCTTTGGTAAACCGTGTACATGAGGTTTTGAGAAGACTGAAATTCCATGTTCATGTGCTCTGCAATTGAACTGGAGAAGAGAAAAGATGACTAATGGAAGTGGCAGCCCTGAGGGCTGGAACAAGAGATGAAAACAAAGGCTGGGATGGATTTGTGGAATTTGTAACAAACACTTCTTAGGAGTGATTTTTCAGTAAAAGGGAGTAACGAACAAGGCTGGCGTACTAAGTTAGCAAACAAATTCCAGCAGCGTTCCCTGGGGGACTTCCATGCTGAAATGCAATCCCTAGTGTTGGAGGTGGGGCCTGATGGGAGGTGTCTGGATAACGGGGTGGATCCCTCATGAATAGCTTAGTGCTATCCCGTTTCCCTCAACAATAATTCCCAGAAAATGCCATGAAAGGAAAGGCCAAGTCTTGACTGAGAAAGGGACCGGGCAGATGCGGGACTCCCACGTATACCCGTTTCCTCCTCTTCCGGAAGACATTTTGCCACAAGCATGTAATTCAACTTCTGAAAAATACGGTCTTCCTCACTGCAGACTCCACGCCAGCATTTTAAATCATCAAGTTGGCTACTTGTGCTCTGTTTCCAGTATGTAGTTTGCCTGCGGCAATATTAAACCCATCTGGAAGAAAGAACTTACAGCTATCCAGTTCCTCATCAGTGATGTTATCCAGGGGGGTTAGCGAGAGTGTCTCCTTATATTTACTCTCCATCTCACGACTTTAGGATCAGCTTATAAGGAATCCAAACTATGTAAGATTATACCACCAAAAGTGATTCAACGTTCAAAATAAAGCAGTGTGAGCTGTTACTATTTTTTAAAGGGAAAATAAAATGTTTACAGTATACTAAAAGAGATTTTGGTGAAATATAAGAAAGATCTTTTTAAGCAAGATAGTCCTTCTTCCTGGGAAAGACATCTTCAGAAGGGTACACAACACCTCCGGAATTCTTAGAAAATGGGATCCATTTTCCTGATATTTTTAAAACAGAGTTATTCAGGCGTAACTGACATACAACACAATGCACATATTTCAGGGGTACAATTTAAATTTTTTTGACATGTATACAGTAGATAAACCTCAATTGTTCAATTTCTTCTTTCATGGATCATGTTTTTGGAACCATATTTATATGGTTTGGATATTTATTTTCTCCAAATCTCATGCTGAAATGTGATTCCCAGTGTTGGAGGTGGGGCTTGACGGGAAGTGTTTGGCTCATGGGGGTGGATCCCTCATGAATGGCTCAGTGCCATCCTTTGCTTGATGAGTCAGTTTTCCTCCAGTCACACAGATCTGGTTATTTAAAGTGTGTAGCACATTGAAGACCTAATGTGACTAGTAACCCATTAGAAGAAAACAGGATAATCTCACTATGTTGAGGTAGGGGAAGGTGTCTTAAGCACAAAAGGTACAAGTGAGGAAGGAAAAGTTTATTAAATTTGACTGCATGTAAACTCTAAATTTCTTTATAAAAAAGAAAAAATAAACATAACAAATACTTCCAAATCCTGAAAGAAAACATAGGCAATGTATATAATTCAGATTGCGTGTAGAACTACACATTGTCCTATTTGTACAGCACATGTGAAAAATGGACAATAGATATGAATAACCACATTACTCAAATGCCCAACACATATATGAACAGGTGCTCAAAATTACTAGTATTTAGTAATTTTACTTTAAAAGTAGCAACCTATATGGTAGAGGACTTGAGCCAAGAACAAGAAAGGATGTTTATGAACTGAAGATAACCAACTGTGACTTTTAGGGGAGGCTCCCATTGATAGACAATGTTAATAAATTCTGAGTTATTACTTTTCATATGAACTTACTATTTTTTCCTATAGGCAGGTGATAACTAGAGAAACTCCACTTATACATGTAGAATGTATAAGTGAAAATTGAAAGTATTATAAGGAACATTTTCAAAATAAGGAACACATTTCAAATACTTAAAACGATTAAACCACCTGAATGTCCCAGTCTTACCAGTGAAAGAAAAGAAGGAAATTTGCGTTTCCTGAGCATCTATTATATGCTAAACACAGTCAACTCAGCATGTTTCCCACTTATCTATAAGAATGCAACCTTCCTATAACCCTATTATGTGCTAACATTCACATATCAATAACAATTTATATATAAGAAAATTGAGACAGCTTTTATCACATAAATATAAAATTTACATTTTACTCCATGATATCTGTTTACTTAAAACATATTTTAAAGTATTTGCTATAGGGTAAAATGTATACCCAAAGAAAATGCAGACAATTGATTTGGTGACTTCATGACCCAGGGGTGTACACACTGTAGTTGAGAAGCATGGCCCTGTACCATGCATAATAGCTGACACTGGATAGCACCTTACTGTGTACAAAGTGCTTTCACACAGAGTCTGGAAGACACAAAGAAAAGAAAACCTTGAGGGAGCATATAATTATCTCTGGATGGGGATGATAATTCCCATCTCCGGGTTGTAAATACACAGCATGGTATGCCTGATACAAGACAGTTAGCATTTATTATAGTCTCCCAATTACTACATTTTAAATTAGGTGGCATGAGTTACCTGAAACCAAACAGCCAGTAAAAGACAGTACAAATTACTGAATTCAAGTCTTCTGAATCCAGGAGCTCTGCTTTTTCTTATGCCAACAGCCTGCTTATCATACAGAGAGTATGGAATGATTCCCTGTTTAAAAAATTTAAAAAGGAAAGAAAAATAAAACTAGTGTTATTTGCTTCCAAAACACCAACCCTCAGGTATATAGTAGTCTTATAATTGAAGCATTAGCAATTCTTTTCTTTGTCAAATCATTTATTTCTTTTCACCTAGAATATTGGCACAGCTTGCTCCTTCACTCTGTTCAGATTTTCTGCTTAATTGTTTTTTTCTAAGCTCAACCTTCAATGAACACATGCTGCACAATAGCACATGATACCATGACTGTCTATTATCTCATACCTTGTATATTTCTTCATAGTACTTATCTGCTTGTAATATATAAGCATTATATTATATATGACATTATAGTATAAATGCTATTGCTATTTGTTTATTCTTTAATAGCCAGCCTGCTGAAATAGAAGTGCCTTGTGGTCAAGGATTTGTGTGCTGTTTATTGCTGTACTCCTACCGCCTAGAGTAGTATCTTGCACATAGTAGGTTCTCAATAAACATTTGTTAAATAACAAATGTTGAATCAACTCTCTAGGCATCCCATCTAAGATTTCAGCCCTGGGAATCTCTAATTCCCAGGTTCTACTCATCCACATGGCTGGATTACTCAAGAGCCAGAGTTGCCTGAGAATGCACAGAGCAAGTGTCCTCACTGCACATTCTTGAAGAGGGATGTTCAAGCCGGAAATAGCATAGATAAAAAGCAGAATTATAATCAAACCACATCTATCTACTTGTAGAATAATTTCAAAAGAGAACAAGGTTAAGAAGGCTTTTAAAAATCCAAAGCATTATGCCAAATATATAACATATATATAATAAACGTGGAAAATTTAGAAACTTCCGTCTCTGGTGGGAGTAATCCAACTTCCTATGGTTCCACTGTGCAAGTTACTCTAGATTCTAAGAGGGAAGTAAAACATGGTGAATTGCAAGGAAACTTCAAGTAATTGAATTTGTGTGAACTTTCAGACTAAGCTGATAGAAAAATGCATGGTTTATTTTAATGTTTCTGCTATTAGTTATTTTTTTCACGGCAATTTAACTTGTGAATCTAATATCTATTTAGACAATAACTGTACTTTTATTCTGGCTATGTCATAATATTCTGCAATTACAAAATCACATAATACTTAAATTACTGCCATAAAGCTAAGAAGAAATAACTTGCCATATTCCAAATTTCTAAAGGAGCTTGATCTCTGTTCCCTTCTCTGTTTTGCTCTTTTGTGATTCTTAGGCTGGAATCACGTTTTGGCTCTATCAGCCTAAGGAGCAGTTAGCCACCTGTTACTGAGTCAGGGAACAAAAAGACCAAGGCGATAGGTATTTGCACCATTAACTTCTCCCATCTTGTATGTCTATAATTCTGTATTATTATTTTTATTTTTGAGACGTAGTCTCACTCTGTCACCCAGGCTGGAGTACAGTGGCATGAGCTCGGCTCACTGCAAGCTCTGCCTCCCCGGTTCACACCATTCTTGTGCCTCAGCCTCCCGAGTAGCAGGTACTACAGGCGCCCACCACGCCAAGCTAATTTTTTGTATTTTTAGTAGAGACGGGGTTTCACCGTACTAGCCAGGATGGTCTCGATCTCCTGACCTTGTGATCCACCCGCCTCGGCCTCCTGAAGTGCTGGGATTACAGGCATGAGCTACTGCGCCCTGCCAATTCTGTATTATTTTGCGTTTCTGACACTCAAGACTTGATACCTTAAACATTCAAACATATAGAAACACTTATTTGTGTGAACAGCAGTTTCTTTCCTTCAACCAAAGATTGTCAATCTTTAATCTAAAACATGAAAGGAAATAAAATTCAAACACCGCTTCTCCATTACTTGTAAATTTTATTTCTCTCTTCTTAATATATTAACACCCAAATTTGAGCAAAAATATTAAGGATGGATGTGGTGGCTCACGCCTGTAATCCCAGCACTTTGGGAGGCTGAGGTAGGTAGATTGTTTGAGCTCAGGAGTTCGAGATCAGCCTGGGAAACATGGCACAACTTTATCTCCAAAAGAAAAAAAAAAAAGTTAAGAAATCAAAATTTCAATTAATTTTTCCCTTACTGCTAAGCAAATCTGAGTAAATTATAGATTTTAGATTTGGGGTAAGAATTCCCAAAACCAGCAGGGCGCCGTGGCTCATGCCTTTAATCCCAGCACTTTGGGAGGCCGAGGTAGGTGGATCACTTGAGGTCAGGAGATTGAGACCAGCCTGGCCAACATGGTGAAACCTTGTCTCTACTGAAAATACAAAAATTAGCCAGGCTTGGTGGTGCATGCCTGTAATTCTGGCTACTTAGGAGGCTGAAACAGGAGAATCACTTGCACCCGGGAGGCAGAGTTTGCAGTGAGTCGAGATCATGCCATTGCACTCCAGCCTGGGCAACAGAGCAAGACTCCATCTCAAAAGAAAAAAAAAAATTCCCAAAACCAGATGTTTAGGAGTTCATTATTGACAACAGTAGAGAATCTCATCTTCAATTTTAGCGATAAATTATACCAAGGGAAATTTTGACAGCCAAAAGTGAAGTCCTGAAATGAAACAGAGCAAAGAAATTATCAATCTAGTAAAGATCCTCAAAGAATGCTTTCTGGAGAATAGTTTTAAATAAAATAAGCAAATAAAGAATGAAGATAGCAGAGTTAAAGCCGGAGAAGTAGAAACTATCAATGTTTTTACTCCCTTCAAAAATAATATTGAAACTTAGTACCCAATGCAACAGTGTTGGGAGGTGGGGCCAAATGGGAGGTATTTAGATGATGAGTTTCACTCACATAAACGGATTAATGCCACTCTTAACAGGGGCTTGTGGGGGTGAATTCACCCCATTTGTCATTTGAGGACACAGCAAGAAGGCCTCACCAGTTACTGATGCCTTGAGCTTGGACTTCCACCTCAAGAACTGTGAGAAATACATTTCTGTTCTGTATAAATTACCCAGTCTATAGTATTCCATTACAGCAGCACTATACAGACTAAAACAGTGGGAAAGTATGCGTGTCCATTACAGGGAGGGTCAGAGAACAGTTTTAATGAGACAGAAACTTTTCATTCATATTTTCTCCATGTGACATGCAATAAACATGAGATGACTGATGCCGACTCTGGCTGTGTACAGTATATCATGACTGGTTCACATCACTCCCAAGGTTTCCATATGTATTCACTCTCCTCTCCCACCTCAACACTGAGTCTCTTTTTTATTCCATTCCAAAGTAAAGAGGTCGACCCTAGAACTACAGAAGCCCTTTCAGCCAACAGAGTTGTCTGGAGTTCATGGCATTAGTTTTGGGCAACAGGAAAAGTAAAATACAAAACGGCAATACAGAAACTACAAAATTTCAAGTAAGGACTGGCTGAGAGAAGCATTCAGATTGGAGAGAAAGGAATGGCATTGTGAAAATGTGTTCTGGGAACTGACCTCAAATTGAGTTATAGGAGGCTGCAGTCTCACTGGAAAATGCATACTGGCGCCAAGATATAACTGCTGCTTCCAGGAACATCCTCCCCCTCCTTAGCAATGTGGAACAGATTGAAGGAAACTCAAACAATCCCTTTAAGCAGGAAGTAAATAGATTAAGAGAGCAACCAGATGGCTTAAGGCACTATCAGTATAGCTATCCCCACCCCTCAGCCCCCTACTGGCTTTTCCTTCCTCTTGTTTTCTCATTGTATGAAAGACTACTCATAGGTGCATTGCGGAGGAGGAGATCTGCCTTCTCTTGCTCCCGCTTAAGACTGCCTCCTATGTAAGTTTCTCCTGACTAGCTCTTTGACTACCAACCAGCCTGGAGTGGTCTGCCTCTTCTTTGGTCTGAGCTTGCCTTGTGCTTATATAGGGTGGTTCTTAGTCCAGCAGGGCGTTTTCACAACAGCCACCTAACTATTTAACTACATTCACCCTTGGTGCAAGTGCCAAAAAAAAAAAAAGAAAAAGAAAAAAGGACCAAGGCGATAGGTATTTGCACCATAAACTTCTCCCATCTTGTATGTCCATAATTCTGTATTATTTTGCATTTCTAACACTTACCTCAGTTTGTCTATAGAATTGAATTGGCCTTTAGCCGTATCATATAATAATATACTTTGATTTTAATCACAAAATACGTATGTTAAGTAGAACACAATCTAGGACATACAAGATAATACAGAAAAAAAAAAAATGGATGTAGTGGGGAAAAGGAAACAGCACAAAACCAAGTATGATGAAAGAGATAAACTTTGACTTCTAATTTCAACTGAGAATCAATGGACAAAACATCAAAGCCAATATCTGAAATTCATGGTTTCATTCATGTAAGAGTTGGAGAGACAAATGTTAGTATTCCAAAAAAAGAAAATAATTGAGTTTAGGCTTTGGGAAAATCAGATTCCTGTGTTTTAACAGCAAGTGTCCAGCCCCAGCAAGAAGCATGAGAACACAAACAATGCCCTTGTGCTAATATTGTTAAGTGGAGAATCTGTAAAGAGATAATGAAGAAAATGACATTCACATAAGCTTAAATGGGATATGAATGTTTTGCTAAAGAATAAAATGTGTGTAAAAATTAGTAAATCAAGGAAGAAATTTTGCTTAGCGGTCAAGTGCATGGGCTTTGGAATAAGATGGATCTGGTTTGAATCTGGCTCCAACACTAGTAGCTTAGTTTTTGGAAAATAGCTTCAATTATTGCTACACACTGGATTATGTTACCCAAATTCATATGATGAAGCCATAACCTCCCAATGTGATGATATTTGAAAGCAAGGCCTTTGGGGGGTAGTTTATGAGGGTGGGGTCCTCATAATGTGATTAGTACCCTTATAAGAAGAGGCATCAGAGGGTGCTCTCTCTCTCACCACGAGGTGAAGACCCCACATCAATATGGCCATCTGCAAGCCAGGAAGCGGGCTCATACCAGAAACCAAATTAGCCATCCTTGATTTTGGAGCCCTCAGCATCCAGAAGGCCCAAGTCAACTAAGATAGTAGTCTTCTCTAAAAAGGGGAAACTTTGCTGCATAGGGTTGATTTGAAAAACAAGTGAACAATGCATGTACCACAGTCTATTGCATCATGAAAAATCAATATGCAATAGGTCTTATTGTTCTTAGCAAGGTAAAGACATTTGCAATACTGACAGGAGAAATGTCACCTACAAATACTCCAAAGTGTGAAGTGACATAAATGTTTCTGCACAACTAAAACTTTGGTGTATGTGGAACAGTATGGAAAACGAGGCCAGAAAGGTAAAATAGTAAGCTGCTTTTTGTCATAAAGAGGGAAACTGAACCCTCAGTTGTTAAAAAATAGGTACACAATTGAGAGATTTTTATCCAAAATAATGTCTGATTAATATAAATTTAGTCACTTTAATAATGTAGCTACATAATTTATACATATATATATTCACACATTTTTCACTTTATCAGAAATTTTTGTATATTTTTCTCTTTATCAGAAATGTTTGTATATTTTACTAATGACTTTTCTGTATGATAGCACAAATTACCATTGTTGGCCACTGCCACAGAGTGGGGGAAAATGCACATTTTTAAGCATTTCTTTCTTCATCTATGAAAATTTCATCTTCGCCGTATGAACTATGGAGCATTGTCCTGAATTGCCCTCATTGGTGACAGCAATTTATGTGTTGTATGCTGGAGTCCCAATTGAGGACATTACTGCATATAAAATGATTACAAGTAAAAGGCAGAAAATGTTTTGAATGGTCATAACTTCCAAGGGTCCTTACCCTTTGACCTCTGGATTGGGGTTCCCAATGACCACCCTAATATCCTTCTCTACCTACTGCCTTAAGGCCAACTCAATGTATCCACATAAAGAGCAACCTAAAGCCAGTAAAAGATCACCATGAACACCCAGAGGTGTTTATGGCTGTCATTCCAGATCCTCTTTGCTTTTTCTTGACTTATTCCTTCTTTGATAAAGTTATTCGTGTGGTTTGAAATCCAGAATTCAGCTATCCCCTTCATGGCCCTAGTTTGGATTAAAACAATCAGCTTTCTTTTGCTCTGTAGATGGCCTTGAATAGTACATATTAACTGTCAATGGGGCCCCTTTTCCAACTCATGACCACATCCTGCTTGCAGATCTGCTGCTGGGTTAGCACCACATCATCTGCTAGTTGACGCCATTTAGTTAACATCCTGGGGTTACAGCACTCTAAAGGGCATCCATTGTCCTTAACAGAGAAAAATGCACTGCTGAGCAAAGGATTAAACAGGCTCCTCATGCTGCCAGAAGTTCAGTGCATTTTCCGGGATTTTCAAGGCTTCGATGCTGTCATATTGTGAGCCCACTATCCACTTGTATTTATCCATGAATAATGCAGAAAACATGAGCAATCATGAATCTAATCATTGAAGTAAAGTAACCTAGTTATAGTCAAGAGGACAGCTAGTGTTAAACTCCTTCATATAAATTTGAGGAAGGGTTTACATATTCATAATGACTTTCTGATCTGGAAATCCCCCAGGTTTGTCAGTTATTAACAATTGGATGAATAATTCAGGTAGTATTTAAACAAACAGCGATTTCATAGCAGACGCTTCCCCACCCAGGAGATGCAGTAAAGTATTAGTAGCAATAGATGCTCCTACCAAGATCTCCTCCTGCCACTGCCACTCTGTGCACAGGAAAGGAGGGAGAAGAAGCCACCTTGCTTCTCTTATATTTGAGCATCATTTTAGACAATATAGGTCTCTAATGACCCACATGTAAGCCCGGCTGGGTAAGAAAGTTCTAATGTTGGAATTCCTTTCAGCTATTTAATTTTGTGGGAAAAAAAACTTATTTATTTGTATTTATATACATTTATGAGGTACAAGTGTAATTTCGTTACATGGACATATGGCATATTGGGGAAGTCAGAGATTTTAGTGTACACATCACCCGAAAAATGTTCACTGGACCCATTAAAGTAATTTCTCATCCCCCCACTTCCCCTCACCACACCCTCTAGCCCTTGCCAGCAGGAAACTGTTCATTTTCTCTAACTAACAGAAACGAAAGCTAAAAACACTGGTGGGAGGAGTCTCCACATTGCTCCTACTCCATTCTCTCTGGGGCAATAACAGAATAGGAGCAAGCCAGGACTAGTCAGCTAACTGACTCAACCAAGGCCTTTTTTCCTTGTTATCTTTGCACATACTTCATTTTCTTGGCATTTCTGAAGATTACAACATCCTGCAGTTCCGTTTCTGGGAATTTTACTGATTTATCTCCCCCCTCACACAAAATAATCATTGTTTTCTGCATTGCTGAAGATCTCAACATCTGGACTAGTGTTGAAAAAATTTCCAGTGAGGTGAGTACTGTTGCTGATTTTGTAAATATGATCTTGTTCCTTCCTTGAAGTCCCCAAAATCACAAGGGGACAATCAGTATTCGTTATTCAGGGTCATGGGGTGATGGGAGTAGGGCTGGGTATTCAGAAAAGTTGCCGAGTTGCTTGATAGGAATCCTTCATTTACTTAGGAAGATAACAGGATTCTTTTATTCCACCACAACTGAGGACTGAACAAGAGAAAATGCATTTTGACCACTGCAGATTTTAAAACTAATTCTCTGAGTGTGTATTGGCATAAGTTGGTACTTAGAAGAGGGCTTTGGTTATTTTGGCTGGAAGAAGCATTGGAAACTCGGTAGCTGTGGTGGGTTCTCAAGATAGTGATGTGAAAAAAGTATCATGAAAGAATATTAAGTAAAAAACACATCTGAACATAGAGGTGTATTATATGACATCATCTCAATTTTATAAAACATGAGAACAAATGTACACATAGAATAGAAAATCTTTTTAAGTTTCACAAACACAGTTATTCATGGTACGTGGTGTCTTAATATTTTCATAAATATGTTGATCTTTTACTTTAGCTCCATTCTACAGCGGGTGCTAGGGGCAGAATTTCAGTCATTTTGGAATTACTCTCTGCCCTCCTGAAAGTTAATGACTTTTTTTTCCCTGTGGCAGGGTATAGGGGAGTGGAGGGGAAGTCAATTAGGAAAAGGTTACTATTGCTTACTTTTCAAATTTTTAAAAGATGTTTTCTATAGCCTGGTACAATATTTCATGTGTGCTTAAATGGAATGTGAGATTTTTAAATGTTGATTTCAGAATTTTATTAGATAAATGTTAAGTTTATTAATTGCGTTGTTCAAATTTATTATATCATTACAGATTTTTTTTATCTTGTTCGTTTAGTAATTGAAACATAAACTGAAATCTCCTATTATAAAGTTTGCTTTTTCGGCCGGGCACAGAGGTTCACGCCTGCAATCCCAGTACTTTGGGAGACCAAGGCGAGCTGATCACTTGAGGTGTCAGAGGTTCCAGACCAGCCTGGCCAGCCTGGCGAAACCCCATCTCTATTAAAAATACAAAAATTAGCTGGGTATGGTCGTGCGTGCCTGTAATCCCAGCTACTCAGGATACTGAGGCAGTAGAATCGCTTGAACCGGGAGGCAGAGGTTACAGTGAGCCGAGATTGTGCCACTACACTCCAGCCTGGGCAAGTGAGCAAGAAAAAAAAAACTGTCTCAAAAAAAAGAAAAAATGTTTTTTTTCCTTGTAGTGCTCTCACAATCACATATGTATGTGTACATATAATATACATTCACACACAAATATATGTATATAGAATCATGTAGACAAACAAGTACATACATATAAATATATGTGTGTGTAGTGATGTCTGTGCATGTGTGTATACGAAGAGAAATATATACTAATTATAGTACCACGAAGCACTATAAAATAATAAATAATATCATTACATAAATTAGATAAATTCATAGCTAAAACTGTTATAATTTCCTAGGAATTGAACCTTTTATCATTATGTGGTATCTGAAGTTACTTTTGGGCTTAAGGTATATTTAAAGTTACACAAACATAGATAAACTGGCTTTCTTTAGTTATTCTTTTCAAGATAATTTTTAACAATTTTTTTCATTTTTTGTTAAGAACATGTATGTAGATTTCTTTTTTTTTTTTTTTTTTTTTTTTTTGTTGAGACAGAGTCTCGCTTTGTCGCCCAGACTGGAGTGCAGTGGCCGGATCTCAGCTCACTGCAAGCTCCGCCTCCCGGGTTCACGCCATTCTCCTGCCTCAGCCTCCCGAGTAGCTGGGACTACAGACGCCCGCCACCTCGCCCGGCTAGGTTTTTGTATTTTTTAGTAGAGACGGGGTTTCACCGTGTTAGCCAGGATGGTCTCGATCTCCTGACCTTGTGATCCGCCCGTCTCGGCCTCCCAAAGTGCTGGGATTACAGGCTTGAGCCACCGCGCCCGGCCCGTATGTAGATTTCTTAAATCAAATTTGATGAAAGTTGTCAATTAACAGGTCAGACCTTTTAGGTATATGCTGGTAATTAACAATCTGCAATCTGTTCTTCAATTTATGACAAATTTATATCATCTCACTATCTAAGACAATTGCTTTAGTGTATTGTCATGCTTCTTTTTCTTCCCTCCCTTTACCATGCTGTTGTAATTTCTGTTTCTCTTCTCTTTGATCAGGGCTTTCTTTTTAAGGCATTAGGAGCACCTAAAAAAAGTTTATTTTTCACTCTTCTTATCTTTTGGCTGGCAGCATTTTTAATTTTATTCATTGTTTTCTTATTAAATATTATTTTCAATAGATGTTTTCTTGTGGCATGAGTCTTTGTCTTGCAAAAAGACTGCGGCCCTGAGTATCACAAAATAATTTTTGAGACTCTTCTATTTAAATATCATTGTGCCTACATTAAAACTCTAAATGTAAAATTATATTTTCCCTTAAGACAAGATGAAAGCACCTATTCTGTGCAGTGGAGCTAGATAGATTTTGAAATTAAGAATCTGGAGGCTTCAGAAAGGCTATTTAGTGTATGTATTCTAAATACTGTCTTACTGGAAACTCCACTGGGATATAAATAATTACTCCAAAATCAAACACTAATACTGCAAAACAAAACATGTGAACGTTCACATTTAAGTGAAATAAAGATTATACATAGCCTACTGTCATCCCAAATCTGGTTTTATTTTGCAAATAAATTGTGCTGTCACACTTGTTTAGAAACATGTGCTCGGTGCCACAAAGAAAAACCAGCACTTAAACAGGAAATTTCTCAGCAAAGCATATTTGCTTCTACAGAAGGGTGCTGCCTGCGTCAGTCACAACGCACAGTCTAAGCTGACCAGATTGGCTACTGCTTTAAATTGTGCAGGGCTAATTAGGCAGGAAGGAAGAGACTGTGCCTTAACAATTAGGCGGGAAGGCATGTCTGGGGCGTGGCAAAGGAGGAAAGGGTTGTTTATAGAACAAGAAAGAACAGGAAAGTTTGAAGAGGAACTTATTGTTTCTAGCACACTCACAAAATAAGTCAAAACTTTCCACTGAAAAATTTTTTTTTGGTTTTGCAATTGATATGGAACTTTGGACCAGTATTATATAAAAACGATTCCATTGTCCTGCTTCGGACAGTTTTGATATAGCGATTCACTTTCAATTTGATTCTTGAATCTTTGTAGGTGATCTATACAGAGTAGTTTTGTTTATTATATTCTTCAGTTTCACTATAATGTGTTTTTGTATAGATTTTACCTTCATTCTCTGGACGTTTTCAATCCAAGGATCCTCCTGTTCTCCTAAGAACGAAGCAATTTTTTTTTTTTGATGGAATCTCGCTCTGTCACCCAGGCTGGAGGGCAGTGGCACGATCTCCGCTCACTGCAACCTCCATCTCTTGGGTTCAGGCGATTCTCCTGCCTCAGCCTCCTGAGTAGCTGGGACTGCAGGCGTGTGCCACCACACCTGGCTAATTTTTTGTATTTTCAGTGGAAATGAGGTCTCACGATGTTAGCCAGGATGCTCTTGATCTCCGGACCTCCTGATCCGAACGCCTTGGCCTTCCAGCATGCTGGGATTACAGGTGTGAGCCACCACGCCTGGCCCAATTAATAGCCCCTGAAATTTAAATACCTTGGTTATACAAAAGATACACAAAGACATCATTCCCAAACTTAAAAAAATTCATTAATTAAAAATGTTTGGAATCCATATCTTGCACTGTCATCATGGAAATATACAGGTGTTAAGAGGTCAAGAGGAGTGACACTCTGTCCGTAAGGGGACTCTGAAAAATCTACCAGGAGACAAAGCCTCAGTTGAGTCTTAAGGTTGTATGGGAAGTAGTCAAAGAAAGAAATGTGGGAATGGCTTTCCAGGCAATAAGCAGGAACTAGAAAAGTCATGAGGCATGAAGACACAAGGTGTCTGGCATCCTTGTGAAGCATAGCTACAAGGAATACAAAAGTACTAGGAGCAAAAAAGATGAAGCTTCTTCAACATTTTCTGAGAGAGTATAGGAAGCAAGGAATTTTTGGAAAGAAAAAGGAGAAATATTGAAGGATTTCAGTGGAATATAAATGTGGCTTATCGAGAGAAAACTGGTCGTGCAAACAGAAATAATTAGGCAAATCAAGTCTGAAATAAGAAAAATAAAACAACCAATAAAATAATTTCAGTGAATAAATACTGTGATGCTGCACTAGAAAGCATGCAGATTTTCAGCAAAGTGATGGTTTTATGGGTACAGAGAACAGAAGCCATGGTCTAGCACCAAAGAAGGGAGGATGTTAATGACAGCCAACTAGGGAAGAGTCAAGGAGAATAGTGTCGGTGCCCCAGCATGAAACTGTAGCGCTGTAGCAGAAGGTTATTCATATAAGGTGGGAGGCTGCAGCCCATTTACACCTAGGCCACTCCAGTCATACTGGGTGTGGGAAGATTTAAGAAACAGCAGGCGGGATCTGGGGAATAGGCTCCAGCCCTAGTAAAGGATAAGAAGAGGAACCAAGGGCTTTGACACTGCAGAGCTCACACACTAAACACTGAGACAATTGCTTGTTCTCAGACCTCCCTCTAACAACTGGACCCAACTCAACTATCCTCATTCAAAGGGAAGAATTTCTTAGACATTCCTAAAGAAACAGTTCTTCACTCAATTTCTACAGTAACACATTTGGTCATTAAGTCCCTCTTTATCACACATATTCATGAACAACTCTTTCATATGGGCCACTGACTCACATAGTCATACATCATCTTTTAAATTGTCTTATACACGTGTAACACTGTATACCATTTTCTCTTGTAGGCTCACTTATATCTGTAAAGATGGAAAAAAAATACAAGAACATTGTTCTACTGAAAGGATTAGAGGTCATCAATGATTATCATTTTAGAATGGTTAAGTCTTTACTGAGCAAGGATTTAAAACTTAATGTAAAAATGAGAGAAGAGTATGACAAAATTCAGATTGCCGACTTGATGGAAGAAAAGTTTCGAGGTGATGCTGGTTTGGGCAAACTAATACAAATTTTCAAAGATATACCAACACTTGAAGACCTGGCTGAAACTCTTAGAAAAGAAAAGTTAAAAGGTAATTGGGAAGAGGGAACACCCACTCCCTGCAACCATCCCCAAACCCTCCCTAACCTTGATTAGACCCCCACCTCGGCCATACTTGAGATGTGTTTTCCCCAATTTGTGACTCAACTGCTGAGACAATGTGGGTACTTCAGAGGCCAACAAGTTGACAACTTAGGGCATTCCATTACTGTTGTGGATTGATGGATTTCAGAGTGTCTATTTGGGATCAGTGAAAGAACAAAAGTGAGAGGGAGTTGAAGGGGGACTGAGACTTCCAGTATATTAGAAAGCTCATATAATAATAAAATCATAAAAATTGTTGTTTAAATTCAAAATATGTACATTTAGTCAATTAATGTATCTGTTCTATTGAGACTATTTAACCCTTTATAATTAAAAAAAATGCAGTACTTAAATGTGAGCCTGACTCTCAGAAGTCTGATCTCCCCTCTTGTTGTATCAAGTTAAAAAAGAAGGATTTAAAAAAGTCTAAGTTCAAAATCAGTATATCCTACCTCATGAAAACCTTTGGCTGATTTCTATAATTTAAATAGCTTACCTAGGGAATGTGACCTATCAGTCTGTGTCATGAAAACATTTGTTTTTAAAAGGAAATGATAGGAGAAGCACACTGTGAAAGGGTTGACTGAAGCACATGGAGTTCAGAGAACAGGAAGCATGTGCTCAGTGCACAGGGGAGGAGTGAAGAAAGTGCTGAGGAGCATGAGTCAGTGCCTGCACCTGTCTTGTGACTGCTGGCCTCCTTGAGGCCAGGCTGGGCTAATGCAGTAGAGGTAGACTGAAGCACAGCCGAACCCTCAAGCAGGAACTGAGAGCAAATTGTATTGAAACTGCTTCAGCTGTCGGAGATCGTTTATATGTCTTCTTTTTTTCTGCATTGGTTGTGAATAAAATTGAATCTATTCCAGTAAAACAACTAGCCCCATCAAGAAAGAGGAAGAATGAAGTCGATCCTGCTTCACCTGCACCCTCCACAAGTGGCACTGTCAACACTGAAGGAGCAGAGGCAACTCCTGGAGCTCAGGTAAGCTTTAGGGAGAGGAGCAGGCTTCAAGTCCCACAGAGGAAGCTCTGCTACGGCTCTTCCACTCAACTTCTCCAGTAGGCAGTTATTTCTTCATGCTTCCCATCAAGTTTCAGATTTACCATATTGTATGATAACTTAACATCTTTTTGATAATCAAAGCAATGAGCCAAACACATGAGTAAACATAATGTAAATATATATAACATAAATGTGATACCTTCATTCTAGTAGAGTGGAGTGTCAACATGACAGTCAGGTAAGTAAATACTTCGTCCATGTGTATAAAAACCTACTTTTTCTAATCCCAAGTCAACACATCCCATAACAGAAATAATTAGAGAAATAATGTGTATAACATTCTTCGCTTTCTTCGTTTAATGAAACCATCTATGCCCACCTCTTACAACTGACCAGAGATGGGCAGCAAGCTCTCAAGTTTCTAAGAAACATCTTCTTAGGAATAATAAAACTACTATCCAATAACGAAAATGTGCTCTACTTCAATTGGCACTGAAAACGAATAACAGAAAAATCAAACCACTTGCAGAAAAGAAAAAAACCAACCAAAGAGAAGGCTGGAACGAAAGGGAGTAAGATGTCCGAGGAGCAGACTCAGCCTCCTTGTCCTGCAGGAGCCGGCTTGTCCGCAGCCGTGGGCCATTCCCCACCTCCCAAGACCTCATCATCAGCTCCACCCAACACTTCCTCAGCTGAGGTACACTCTTCCTGGTCCCGTTTCGCTTTGTTTTTTTCAACCCAAAGTAAAGGACTGATTTCATCTGTTACTTAAAAATTGCGTTCATAATTTGCTAGTTAATCAAATGTACGTATTGAGAAAACACTACATTTTGATCTTTTGCTTCCACAGGGATACTTGATGAACTTGACATTATCTCTGACTGCGGGAAGTTTTCTGTTCTGTGTTGTTTGGGGAAGGGAGAGAGAGCTGTGGAGTACAGAACTGTCAGCTGTGGGCTCGCTGTCTACTGTATTCCATGTCAGACCTCTCCAGCACCTGTTAGTTTGTGAATGAGGTTATCCATACCTTCAGCACTTTTTCTTATAAACAACCCCCCTGCATTAAAAGTGTTCTATTGCAATTCAAGGAGACTGAGATGTTAAAGAGAAAATACGTTAAAGAAAACCCACTCTGAGCCCCAGGTTTCTGTTAGCATGCTACCTGCTAGAGCCCTGACACTGAGAAAGGCAATGGTAGTGGGAATGACACTCCGCAGAGCGTCTCCAGTCTGAGCCTACTGAGATGACGGCATTCTGAGGGGTTGATCGCACATGTGTTCTCACCCGCTGTAAGCCAGCTGAATCTTGGGTAGAAACACTACGAGATGTGCTCTTAAAATTGCCCTGTCTGCACTGTTGATAACTGAACACTCTTCACGTCTATAGTTTGTGGTGGGCACCATTTTTCATTTTAAGTGTCATTTAACTTTGTCTATTTTTAGGCTCTGGCACTTTAAGCTGGTAAGAGAAATAGTATAAGAAATTATTTCATTCTAAAATGTATTATTTATCTATTTACTGTTGTTGTTGTTGAGACAGAGTCTCGCTCTGTCACCCAGGCTGAAGTGCTGTGGCACGATCTCGGCTCCCTGCAGCCTCCACCTCCCGGGTTGCTGGGATTACAAGCGCCTGCCACACCTGGCTAATTTTTGTACTTTTAGTAGAGCCACGGTTTCACCATTTTGGCCAGGCTGGTCTCGAACTCCTGAACTCAGGTGATCCACCCGCCTCGGCCTTCCAAAGTGCTGGGATTATAGGTATGAGCCACCGCGCCTGGCCCTAAAATTTATTTTAAGTTACTTCATGACACTGGCTTTCAGTATCCACTGGTCTTATGTTGCTCTTATGCTTTATTTCTTAAGGATGATTCTGTTTAGAGAAAGGTCATCTTTTCACTATATGGTCTCCTCTATTACTTCCTCTTGCTATTATACCAGTTTAAGGTATCTTCTGCCCTGGCTAGCAATCCCTGTCTATCCTGACTCCAGCTCTAAACATCCGTGCAAGTTTTGGGGCCCTATGTTATACTGAGGTCACTGAATAGCAGTTCTGTATTTCTCAATCAGACATTTTTCTTTGTTCTCCTGTGCTATCATACACAGAACCCGAAAACAGTGGCCAAATGTCCGGTAACTCCCAGAAAAAATATTCTCCAAAAGGGCCCAGTGATAGTGAAGGTACTGAGTACAACGAAGCCATTTGAATACGAGACCCCAGAAATGGAGAAAAAAACAATGTTTCATGCTACAGTGGCTACACAGACACAGTTCTTCCATGTGAAGGTTTTAAACACCAACTTGAAGGAGAAATTCAATGGAAAGAAAATCATCGTCATATCAGATTATTTGGAATATGATAGTCTCCTAGAGGTCAACGAAGAATCTTCTGTATCTGAAGCTGGTCCTAACCAAATGTTTGAGGTTCCAAATAAAATCATCAACAGAGCAAAGGAAACTCTGAAGACTGATATTCTTCACAAACAAGCTTCAGGAAATATTATATATGGGATATTTATGCTACATAAGGTGAGTCCTCAAAATTTTTTTGTTTCATTTTTCCACCAACACCTAAAATTAAAAGCCTTGATGTGTGAGATGAAGCTTTGCCTATAAACTGGATATTGGAATCCAGGACTCTGAAGACTAATGGCAGGTGGATAAAAACTTCTCTGAAGATAAGACTGGGATTAGGGGACCTGTTAATGTTTCTTTCCCATGTTCTCCATCCCAGAACATTAAACTTAGGTCTTTACGGTAATGTTCACTGAGAAACCTTAAGACTTTATCAGTTGTTATTATCTATGCTAAGTGATCAAGGACAGTGTGAGGTCTACATCCATACACATGTAACACTAAGTTTATCCCTTTGGTTGTTATTCTACTGTTGTAAAAATCACATTGTTTTTATTTTGAATGAAGTATTGTCCTCTGAGGCTTGAGTTCTGGTTGTGACAGTCAGAATAATAAATCAATTGACTACTCATGGCTGGAAAACAAATGCAGAAAGTAGGTAGGACAATGTTCTGACCAAATGAAATGGAACAATTGGGAAATATGAATTTGGATGATACTTGGAAAATCAGGTAATCTAAATTTGTCATTTATATATAAGTAACCAAAAAAATAGAGCACAGAGTGCTTTTCCTGATATGTTCCAGTCCAAATTCATGAAACTAGTTAGCATGAGACATTCAACCCCCCCAAAAAAGCATCTATCCTCTGCTATTGATTCAAGCAATTTCTTGTCTGATCAATATTCACTATCCATTATATTTGTTTCCTAGAACAAGCCATGTAACCTGCATTACTTTCTGTACATACTCTTTTTGTTCATTTTTTGAGACGGAGTCTCGCTCTGTCGCCCAGGTTGTAGTGCAGTGGCGCGATCTCGGCTCACTGCACCTTCGCCTCCTGGATTCAAGCTATTCTCCTGCCTCAGCCTCCTGAGTAGCTGGGACTATAGGTGTCTGCCACTACGCCTGGCTAATTTTTTGTATTTTTAGTAGAGACGAAGTTTCACCATGTTAGCCAGGATGGTCTCGGTCTCCTGACCCTGTGATCTGCCTGCCTCGGCCTCCCAAAGTGCTAGGATTACAGGCATGAGCCACTGCGCCCGGCCTATGTACACACTCTTAAAAAGATGATTCTTATAAACCCAATTCTAGAATGATGAGTAATAGCGAAAAGCTGGAATGTTTGAGCTCAAGGACTTGGTTTCAGGAGGGGGTACAAATATTGAAAGAGACTCAGTAAATGCAGAAGGTAGAAAAAGTAATTAGAGAGTCACTAAAAGCTTGCTTTTTCTTACAGATTCCTCGTCATTCACTGAATAAATAGTTGTAGCAGATATCCATTCTTTTTGCATAGGGCCAGGGACCTAAAAAGGCTATCAGAGATTTCAGCTTCCTCGGTATCAAGGTGCCATGGGAAGCATAGCTGCCCTGGAGGTGAAAGCAGTAGAAATTTGGAAGAAAACTCATTGTTCTAGAACTCTCATAGAAATACCTCAGATAGGAAAGACTTAAACAAAAAGGATATTGAGGGAGGGCTCTCTGCAAAGATCTGGCCTAAGATATATGCATATCTGTACTAGGAGTTGCTGTCCTGCGTCTTGTTTAACTCTCTTACAAGAGACTTTAGCCCATATGTGGTTGTTATTAATTACATTCTCAGGAACAGAATATTAATTTTGTTACAGAAAACAGTAAATCAGAAGACCACAATCTATGAAATTCAGGATGACAGAGGAAAAATGGATGTAGTGGGGACAGGACAATGTCACAATATCCCCTGTGAAGAAGGAGATAAGCTCCAACTTTACTGCTTTCGACTTAGAAAAAAGAACCAGATGTCAAAACTGATTTCAGAAATGCATAGTTTTATCCAGGTAAGAATTAAATAGGCAAATATTAGTTTTCCAAAGTGGAAATGATTTGCTTTAAGTTTTGGTAAAAACAAATTTGTAGGTTTTTTTACAGAGTTCAGCAGGAGGCATGAGAAAACAGACGTTCTCCTTGTACTCACATTTACTTTTTTTAATTATTTTTTTTCTGGATGGAATGATATGATAGGAAGGATACATTTTTAAAAAGAAAGAAAAGCTGAACTTTATTGAAGAAATTAAACTCTGAATTTTATATAAACTTTTAAGTGATTGTAGGGTTGGGATTTAAAATTACATGTTCTCCATTTGTAAATTCGAAAATGTCGTGTGTGTGTATGTGTGTGTGTGTGTGATACTTTCTATTTGTAACATTAAAATACACATATGTGTGTATTTAGTGATCCATAAAAATACCTAGTCTGAAAATTAAAATTATTTCCAGTGATCAAAATTATGTCCCACTGACAAAGTTGTATACAAAGGAGGCTCTCTAATTTGTTAATTGGAATTCAAATATTAACCTGTTAAGTTTCCTTACAGTACATGATTTTACACTGTTGCCATTTTGAATGTTTTTAATTATTTATTTCAGTAGGTTTTTGAGAAACAGGTGGTGCTTCGTTATAGGAATAAGTTCTTTAGTGGTGATTTGTGACATTTTGATACACCCATCGTCCAAGCAGTGTACACTGTACCCAATGTGTAGTGTTTTATCCCTCACCCCCCTCCCACTCTTTCCCTTGATTCCCCAAAATCCACTGTATCATTCTTATGCCTTTGTGTTCTCATAGCTTACCTCCCACTTATGAGTGAGAACATACAATGTGTGGTTTTCCATTCCTGACTTACTTCACTTAGAATAATGGTCTCCAATTCCATCCAGGTTGCTGTGAATGCCATTAGTTTGTTCCTTTTTGTGGATGAGTAATAGTATTCCACGGTGTATACATACCCCATTTCTTTATCCATTTGTTTTGATGGGCATTTGGACTGGTTCCGTATTTTTGCAATTGTGAATTGTGCTGCTGTAAACATGCATATGCAATGATCTTTTTTTGTATAATGACTTCTTTTCCTCTGAGTAGATACCCAGTAGTGGGATTGCTGGATCAAATGGTAGATTTGCTTTTCAGTTTTTTTTGTTTTGTTTTGTTTTTTTGTTTTTGAGATGGAGTCTCGCTCTGTCGCCCAGGCTGGAGTGCAGTGGCGCGATCTTGGCTCACTGCAAGCTCCGCCTCCCGGGTTTACGCCATTCTCCTGCCTCAGCCTCCGGAGTAACTGGGACTACTACAGGCGCCCGCCACCCCGCCCGGCTAGTTTTTTGTATTTTTTAGTAGAGACGGGGAGTTTCACCGTGTTAGCCAGGATGGTCCCGATCTCCTGACCTCGTGATCCGCCCGTCTCGGCCTCCCAAAGTGCTGGGATTACAGGCTTGAGCCACCGCGCCCGGCCAGCTTTTCAGTTCTTTAAGGAATCTGTACGCTGTTTACTACAGTGGTTCTACTAGTTTACATTCCCGCCAGCAGTGTAGAAGTGTTCCCTTTTCACCACATCCATGCCAGCGTCTATTTTAACAATTTTTTTGATTATGGTCATTCTTGCAGGAGTAATGTGGCATCATTTTGTGGTTTTGATTTGCATTTCCCTGATCATTAGTGATATTGAGCGTTTTTCTTTACCTTGTTGGCTATTTACATATATTCTTTTGAGAATTGAATATTCACGTCCTTAGTCCACTTTTTGATGGGATTGTTTGTATTTGAAATGCTTGTTCCCCGGTGCCATAAAGAAATAGTATTTGAATATAAATTTAATTTTTTCAACAAGGCCATTTTTATAGTTTTTGTAGAAAGGGTACACTAGCCAGCAGTTTTGCCACAAGAGTATACCAAACAAAGGAGACAAGGTCATTTATAACCTGAGGCATCCACCCTACTGCAGCGTTCAGTTTCCATTGGCTGGAACGGGACCTCACATTCTGTATTTGTCCCAGCTGGCTAGCAACTTAGAACTTTTTAAAAGAGGCAAAGGCAGAGGAGAGCAAAGGAAGGTGGAAGTAACTTGTGGAATGTTGAGAAAGGTAAAAACGCCTTTAAATAAGGAAGAGGAACAGGCTATGACCTAATGCTTGTTTGGATCAGTATAAGCATGTTAGGTCAAATATTTAGGCTAAATTGTGGGAGCTAAGAACATAAAGTACATTGATTTTTTTATTACAGCTAGTAGATATTTAAGAATGTTAGCACAGGTCTTTGAATACATTTTGCCTTTAAGAGAAGTTACTATTTATTTCTATTAGATGAGGAGGAAAGTTTTTGAGGAGGAACCTCTACTTTTTTATAATTTCCCCTCTTTTTATTTCATAATTCTTCTTTAAACTTGTTTAATATGTTTTGACTTAATTGTTTTGTTTGTCCTTTTAAAAGAAGTCATTTTTCAGAATAGGGTAGAGGAGAGTTAGGAGCTGCCTCTGTAAGAGTAGCAGAGATAAGTTTTTGTGTAAAGTTTCGAAGGCAGTGAATAATATAACACCCTACAAGAATAAGTACGCCAATAACAAGAGCGAACAAGGTGAGAATTGAAGTTAAAAAATTTTTTATCCACTGAACCAATGTTTTATTATTTTAGAAAAAGGGTTATTTATTTTAGAATTGTTGGCAAGTTTATTGGATAGGGCTGTTAATCCTTGTAACACTTTTGTTATAGTTTTATCGGGGCAGTATTTTTAGGAACAAAGGTATAACATTGAGTTTTAATTATGACCCAAATATCTTCTTATTTTGCTAATATTATATTTAAAGCTATTTTATTTTTCTAGGCCATCTGGCTGGTAGGTCCTAATTGCTTAGCTTTCTCTTTGATGGCGTCCTCAGTGTAATTTATGAATCGTTGCTGATCGTAATAGATCCAGTTTATTTAGTCTACTTTTTAAAAAAATGTATAGTTACTTACCAGAACAACGTGGATTTAAATTCTGCAGCTATTTGATTTTGTGCTTTACACTTATTTGGCACTTCTCATAGGACCTTAATAGCATTATGTAAACCTAAGGATTAAAGGACTCATGAGGAGTTTCCTTTGGCCTGCCGTGTCTTGTTTTTACTTTTTTTATTTTAGACTGGTGAAATACCAGGGTGAAGGGGATAGCCAATTGATTAGAGCATAAGTACTGCTCCAATTATTTGGCAGAGTGTCTAGAGAAAGGTCCTCTATAATACCACCATACATTTGCTTGGAGATGGCTAAGTGTGGACTGATGGACAAGCTCTTGGAAAGGCTTGAGCTCCTTGCATCCTTTTATGCTTCTAAGGAACACCAGATTTTCTTCTTGCCATGAGAGGCAACTAATAAACCTGGCATTCAGAGGTGAAAGCCAGACTGCCCTCGGGGACGGACCCCCAGGGTGTTGAATTTCAGGAAATAGCAGATAGAGAGCTCGGCATGATGGATTAGCCTAAGCCATGGGATTTTGCAAGACAGACACCATACAGTCCATTTCTGGTCGAAGAGGAGACCATCCGAGTAGAAAGGGGATAATCTGAACCTCTGGCCTTCCATGCATACAGGCGTAATAATCATTTTTGTTTAAAGTACAAACAGAATATTTAATTCATTCCAGCCAGGCATTTGCATCTTGATATATTGTCTTGATGACTAAAGTCTGTCTTAGATCTCTTATTTTTACAACAGACACCCTAGTTTTATTATTAGATATAGGAGCAACCGTTGTGGGATCTAGAACAGAGCCTACTGAAGAAGGGGAAGATGGGGGAATCATGCTTATTTTAAAAATACCTAGGGGGTCTTTTTCATTTATGTTAATCCCCGTACCATAGAAGCGACTAACGGCAGGTCTAGAGTTAGTTAAGGTGGAGGTGGTGATAAAGAGAAGGACAGGGTTACATTGATAAGGCTGCCAGTTAGTGAAGTAGATGAAGGGTTTTAGATCTGCACAAACCTTTTTTGTGGAAGTATAACTTTGCTCTTGAGTAGTTTAAAGGATGTAGTCCCATTTATTACAAGGTTGCCAGGCTGTAGGAGCAGAAAATCGGTGTCTTGGCTGCAGGTGATCACAACGTTGAGTGATTGAGTAATTGACAACTGTCAATTAGAGGACCGGGACATAAATATTTGTGTGAAAAGGCTAGCTGGAAATCTTTTTTATTTCCACAAAGTATGACAAAACAAAGCATTAAAGGCAATGGTCTAAGGTGAGTTAGACTTAGTTACATTTATAACAAAGGAGCTAACAACAAATTTTAAAAAGAAAAAACAATATAAAAGATATATATAAATGAAACTTTCTTTAACTTTAACTTAGTAGGGCTTAATCTTAGTACGGTAACCCATAATTCTAACGAAGAAGATGTTTTCTTGATTCGAATATGATGGGTCCATTTTTCCTCAGCTGTGCAGACGGCAGTCTCAGTGGTTAACAACATAAGATAGGGTCTTTCGGCCGGGCGCGGTGGCTCAAGCCTGTAATCCCAGCACTTTGGGAGGCCGAGACGGGCGGATCACTAGGTCAGGAGATCGAGACCATCCTGGCGAACACGGTGAAACCCCGTCTCTACTAAAAAAAAAAAAAAAAAAAAAAAAAAAAAGATAGGGTCTTTCCCAGGATGGCTCGTTTTTTTTGTTTTGTTTTGTTTTGTTTTGATCTTTTAATAAGAACATGGTTTTCAGGCTGGTGCTGGTGTACTGGAAATTCTAGGGGTAGTACCTGTGCTAAAAGCCTTTTAGTTCTGAGGGAAAAGAAAGTGGAAAATAAGTATATAATTTTTGTTGCATATCCCGGGGCTTGAAGCCCCATGGTGACGCCTTCTGCTCCATTCTTGCTCAGGGCTGCCCAAAGATTGCTGCGGCCCTGCCCCCTCTTGAGGCCTTGGCCTTCTTGTGGCCTTCACCGCCCCTGCGTGCTATGGCCTTGGGGATGAGGGGCGTTGTGACTTACCCGGCCATCCTTGGGACTTAAAAAAAATAAACACCATTTTATATTTGAC